GGCATCTTTTTGATATCAGTCAGGTAACTGGAGCCTATGCCAGCAATATGAGCAGAATGGACAATTGCCAGTGAGTCACATACTGTGATAGAATGGAATACAGTCGTTTTACTAAGTTACTAGGTTTGACAGTTAATTTTGTATGATTACTTTTACAGTAATTCACAGTTACTTCTGGACATAAACATTTTACAAATTTTGACACCCAAATACTCTGAACCATACAAGGACAAGTCAGTACAATTAGGGGTGTCAAATTATCGCGTTAATTGCGATTAATTAATTACAGTCATATTTAGCGCGTTATGTTTTTTAATCGCGTTAATCTCATTTTTAATCTCTAACTTTAGTGTTTCTGTATGCGAGTTGCTTTATTATAAAACCTGTTTTTATGTGTTGTTGGGACAACAACAACACACACACACACAAAAAACACATTTATACTTTTTTTATTTCGGTAATTCCACTCATTGCCGGAAACCCACACAAAACGCGCGCAGTAAGAGCGATGTAAACGTCATGTTCACGTTTGCGGCGTCAGTCACACAGTGGACGAGGTCGGAGAGCCAGTAGAACAGAGTCAGCAGTGCACAGGTAAAAACACATTCGTGTCTTGGAAATTATTCTCCCGACGTGAAATATAAAAGAAAATAACAAATATAAAATCGCCTACAACTTAAATGTCACTGGTGAAAACAACCTGCATAGACTCATGATGTCTGCACTACTGTCCTATAGTGACCTGACACATGAGGGGACACACACACAAACACACACAAACACACACAAACACAAACAAACACACACCTTCATCATCGTCATTAACCTGAGAACGCGCGGACCACGTTTCCTTCCGTAGACACTGCGCGGACACCGACGTGCTCCTGTGCGCCGCGTGTGGATCGTGTTTTCTCGCGTACGCTGCGTAAACCGCGCTTCCTCCTGTGCGCCTCTAAACCAGAACTAACACCAAGACTAAAACCAGGACTTATCCAGTCCAGGACTAAACCAGGACTAAACCAGGACTAAACCAGAACTAAAACCAGGTCTAAACCAGGTCTAAACCAGGTCTAAACCAGGACTAAACCAGGACTAAACCAGCACTAAACCAGAAATAACACCAGGACTAAAACCAGAACTAAAACCAGAACTAAAACCAGGACTAAACCAGGACTAAACCAGAACTAAAACCAGAACTAAAACCAGGTCTAAACCAGGTCTAAACCAGGACTAAACCAGGACTAAACCAGCACTAAACCAGAAATAACACCAGGACTAAAACGAGGATTAATCCATTCCAGGACTAAACTAGGACTAAAGTAGGACTAAAGCAGGTCTAAACCAGGACTAAAAAAAGGACTAAAACCAGTGATCTCATATATAAAGCATTTCTCTATCAATAATATTTTTAATATGGTTAAGGAAAGACTGGACTTTTTATTGTCTTTAAGTAGACAAAAGTTGTTATGTTCAGATTTCCTTGTCTTTGCTACTTTACAGCAAACAGTTTCTTATTCATGGAGACTTGGGCTCAACAACCAATTTGGAGAGATTTGTTAAACAATAAATTACTTTATAAAGTCACTTTTTTTTGTTCTATATCAGTCTTTTGATCTGCCATAATAATGTAATAATGAATTTAAATGAAAATACCTCAAATTGAAGGCTTTTCTCAGCAATTTTTAGGTGAGATTAAAATGAGATTAATTAGATTAATTAATTACAGATCATAATTAATTAATCTCTCAATTTTTTTAATAGCATGACAGCACTAAATACAATACCTCTGCTAATATATAAAATACTGTTTAGTGTATTAAATAAAAAATGACTGCTGATGAGAACTTGTTGGATTCAGTTGACTGGTTGAGGGCATGAAGAATGATCACTTACATGTTTCTCCTTCTAATTATTGCACACACATGAAAGCTGCTCTATGAGAGGGCTGTGCAATTCTTTTTCCCATTTGGCATCGTCATGTTCGCAAAGCTATGGGTTCTGCCACTGAACAGCAGCCAAAACATGATTGACATATTTTAAGCATCTTTTTTTTAACTTCTGCAGCTGTAGGTATATATTACGGGACTGAACGCTTAGGTCCATAAAATTACAATGTAAAGAAAGTAAAATAGAACAACTTAAACTTAGCAAAGAGATTAGAGTGCCTCTACTGCAGTTAAACCATTTTGGCAAGTCTCTGATTATTCAGAAAGTACAAATGGATATAATAGTGCAGCTGTATGTATAAAAACTTTTATATTGCATGTTCAACCTTTAGTGGCTCTTGAAAGTTGTTAACAGGAAGAGCAGCCAAAAATATATAAATTCTTATATTTGTATTAAGTTTATAAATTTATATTTCTAAAAAAATATAACTTAAAACAATGTATATAGTAGAAATAAAAGTAAAACATGCATATGCATCCAAAAACACATTCAATCCAATTATCAGGGGACTACAGAGGAATGTTAAAGCAGACCTATAATGCAAAATCAACTTTTTAGAGCTTTTAACAATGTTATAGTTGTTTGCCGTTCTCATTTACCTTCTTAATGTTTTAATTGTACTGATTTGTGCGTGTTTGAGCAATTTTTAATTGCTTATTTTCAAGACGCCATATTGCAGATCAACTCCTCAACTCCTAGATCAATCACCGGCACACACATTGCTCTGTCCTTGCTTCGTTCTCCAGTTTTATTTTCTTGGTGATATACATAGATTCAACAACATTACATAGTCATTTTCGAGCAAATAAAAAAAAGTTTGCTTCTCACTAGCATGATATACAGCTATCCATAGGAGGTGCTGACAGCTACACAGCTCTTTGTTGTGATATTTACGGCAATGTCAGCTTCCAGTGGGCACCACAGTTTTTTTTATGTGGACATCAGTGGACTTTTTCTTTTATTAAGTTGTTTTAGATAGATATTGTGATTTAAAATGTCCAAATTATAACAATGATCCACGGGTGTCATAGATTATAACTATATAGCACACTCAAGCACAATGTGTCTTCTTTAATATAATAATAGTAATAATAATAATGTATAACTGAATGTTGTATTTTTTTTGGTTAAAGCCCCTCTGTGTATCTTTAGCCAAAAACATAAAAGGTATGAAGAAATGTGTTTTTTATGTTTTTATTGCACAGGAAAACATAGTCCTTCCTGTGAGTTTGTATCTTCACAAATATGACTCTTATTTAACCAGGAGGAGGGCCCCCACTGGGAAGGGTCAATCCAAATTTTCTTCTAAATAATATTTCTTATAAATAAGTAAAAAGTATCGAGTGATATACAACCATTCCTAAAAGTGTGATTTCAACTAAATACTCAGCTCAGTGTAATTGAGTAAATGAAAACTTTTTGATTTTTAAAGCTACACAGAGTGGCCCAGACAGACACTGCAGTGAGTAAGTATTCCGTTTATAATGTCACACTCTCGCCATGCTAAAACACACCTATGTTTAGTCTGCTGTCCACAGAGCATTTCTTATCTACCATTTAGCAACCCAGTCTCTTCAACTGCATTTAGACACTTAATTAGGACTTTGTTCTTGTAGGTCTTGTGCGTAGTTTTACCAAATGCACATGACTCAGAATTTGTGAGTATTATTTCACCACTTTTATATTCCAGGCTTTGTAATGTTGATGATTTGTCAATGTAGATTAGTAACATCAGTGTCAGTTGTATGAAAGGCAGATTTATACCTTTGTGGGATCAAATGCAATGAAAAGTGGGTGAGTGGTAAAGAAAATCAAGGGATAATTATAGTTAATGATAGCTTCTGGCTGTGGAGGCAAATCAAGTGTCTCATGTGTTCACTCTGTACGTTTATGGGGCAGACAAAATTGCTTTGAAAAATGCATTTAAAACCATTGAAGTTTATGGTAGGTAGAGATGTAAAGGTATGGTATAGGAATGTCTGAAGAACTGAACTGACTACCTCCTATTACTTATAATTGAGTGTTATTTAACTGTCTGTAGTTACCAAACCACTTAAAAGATTTGCATTTAGAGTCCAACATACTGTCATGTTCATTTATATTCAGTATTCCATTCTATAGACGACTCCTCTCCCTGCTACTGGTGCTATTTGGGACAGCCAATCAGAATGCTGATCTTATTTACGAAGGCATGCAGCTTCACACGGACAGAGCACCCATTGGTTGGTTAGTTAGTCAATCTGAGCCCCTACCCTAAGTTTTGATAACCCTTTCAGATTCCACAATGGCCCTATACAGATCGTTATTTATGCATAAAGAAGTTAGAAGTGATCAAATAATGAAAAGCAGAAATTTCGCCACAAACCCTTTTTAAATGTATGATTCTTTTTGCCAGGATTAATTTCAACGTCTTGAAAGTTACCGAGTTCCACTCAGTGGTTAGATTTGCAGAAATAAGTTCCATGTTAAGTGTCACAATATTCAGGCACTGAAAATACTGATAGTCAAGAATTATCTACCTTTGTTACACCTGTGCACTCTGTCGACCTGTCGAGGTCTGCCTGTCTGTAACGAGGCGTTACAGAAACTCGCGCTGGTCACGCATCTGTAGACGTGAAGGGCACGTTTATTACGCACGCCCTCTACCTCCCTCTCCTCCCGTGCCCAAGACTCTCTGCGCACACACACGCGCGCGCGCAGCTCCTGTCCGTGGGAGAAAGTGAAGAAGGGGAGAGGGAACGAGAGAGGAGGGAGAGAGTGTGATCCCAGGTCTCTCTCAGCGGCTCTCTCCACTTTGGGTCCATGTACCCAGTCTGACTCAATGGGGCTTTAGCAGTACGGGGTACACGTTAAATAAAGGTATTTCTTCACCCCGAAGCCTTTTCTGTGTTTCGGTCTCTTGCGTCTCCACAGACACCGGTGACACATCCAGGACCGTCTCCAGAGGTGTGCCGCTGTCCGCACCTCACAGAAGGGTCAGTCGGATCCCTCTCATCGGCTGGCTTTCTGTGAGCGGATACTTTTCACACTTACAGCTTGAACAGACCAGCAAACTACTGCAACACTATGGATTTTAGAAATTGTCCCTTCCGAAAGAAACGGAGACCATGGTTTTTGGACTTCTCATCTTTTGCCTTGGTAACCGTGGCCCTCTCTATGCTCCAAACGTCTGTGGCTCGTGCAGGTAATGCTTTTGTCATATTTTTATTTAGCTCTTATTTTTCAGACTAGAGCTATGCAAAGGACGCCCATGTCACATGTGAATACCTTCTAGTGTGGTGGCTTCTTGTGCGAAAAAGTCGCGTAAAAGTTCCGGCCATAGTTCACTGCACCTGACGCGCTCAATTTTCCTCAGAAAACGCTGAGGCGCGGGCTCACAAGAAAGGATCAAAAGAAACTCCAAAATCCGTATTTTGCCGTAAACCGCTTAAGGTGATCTATTTTAGGGAACTGCATAGTGTTTAAATTGTAATATGGTGCAAAAATACTTGGCATTGCACTTTTATAGGATCGCAAGTCAAAACACAACTATAAAAACATATCCATAAAACTACCAATAGTTAAATCGTTTTGTGGCAAATTTTATGGACGTCTGCTCGAGTAGGCATCGTAATGACTTTGGTAGTTTGTTGAATCATAGTTATTTTTGTCAGTTAATTTCGCAAATTTTGAGTTTGGTGATCTTTAGAATGACAGTGCTTATACTCGCTCTTATTACAGTAGGCCAGTAGAGGTTTAACAGTTCTCCGAGGATCTGCCAGATGAGACTGTAAGGTGTATGGATGTTTACCAGCGCAGCCTGTGCACCTTCCAGCGCTGCCCCTGGTGGTCCAAGGGGAGGTACCATTTTTTTCCTCAAATACATTTTTTGCATTTTTAGTTTAAAAAAAGATTTGTTGGATTTATTGCGCCCCCTAGTTTTCAAGTTTCAAACTTGGACTTAAATTCTGTGAATGGCCACTAGAGATCTATTTAAACATTTTATACTCATTAAATGCTACAATTGACATTTTTTGACCATTTGGCTATTTTGGCTGCCCTTTTGACAGCAATAATAGATAGAATTAAACAGTTCTATTGGTTTATTTTCACCACGTTACACATTTAGCATTTTCTTAAGCTTCAAGTTTAGACTAGTCCTGAAGAGTGAGTCAGACATTTCTACTTCTTATTTGGATGTATATTCAGATTTAGTGGTGAATTCACCTTACCTCCGGTGTGTATTTTGGAGGTAGACATTTTTACTTTGCATGAAAAGGTTATTATGTCGTGGCGCACCTCAGTGAGTGAAAGCATTTAGTGTCCACTGTCGATGTGGGCATTACAGTGCTGTTTGTATGAGCCCAAAGAAGGAGAATTTTCCCAGTTTTGAGTGTGGAAAGATTAGAACAAATGGCCTTCTGTTTTCAGTCCTCAATCAGTTTGTTTTTCTAGGTTAAGTAGTCAATACCAAACAAATAGTTTTATAAAATAATTCATTATACTTTTTGGGCATTTAAACGTGCAATGTTACATTTTGGTTAAGATTCTCTTCCATAGAAATGCTATTGCATTGCTTAGAATGTTCCACAGTATGGCATTAGTCTGTCTTGCATTTATTGAATAACAGGAGTTTTTAATGGTAAAAAATACCTTAAAAAACATGTATTGCTACTGTTAGCAGGCTGTCCTTTCAACAGATCTGACCTGTAACATGGCCAGATAGCATGACCTGCTTCTCTCCATGGAGATAGATACGTTTAATGCCATCCACCAGAAAAGTTCCATAGTGCATCTTTAGACATATGGCATCAGGTTTATTCATGGTCATGCCAACTCGTTGCTTCATTTAAATCTTATACTGACATTGACAAAGTTTTAAAGTTGCAACAATTCCTTGTGTCAATAATACATTTTAAGTAATGTTTGATATGTAGGTGTATTTAGGGGTTATAACAGCTTTAGGACAGTGGCAGTGGCTTTCGTGCTCACCCTCAAACCAGAGGACAGATGATTCAAATCCCATCTAAGCTTTTGCTGTCATGGGGTCATGGGCACTTCACCTGTTTGTCTCCAGTCACAGTAGCTTGACTGGTTGTGACAAAAGGGCATCTGGAGTAAAAAAAAATACCACATCACTGTGGCGTGAAAAACGAATAATTATTATTGATGTTTCTAAAACTGTATTGAATAAAATTTGCCATTATTAGCCCCATGATTGAAATATAAATGTATAGAAATAAGCAGACAGTCACTGCAGTGTGTAAAAACCATGAAAGACTGGTTTGTGAGAAAGGATGAGAGAAAATCCGAGGTCGATATTTTCTTGCCATGGATGTTCCTCTAGCTTATTTCAAAGTAGTGGGCTCCTCAAAAGGCAGTCTGTCTGAGTTTGGCTAAACATAACATAACCTCTCTGCCTCTGTCCTGTGAATGGGACTACTATCCGAGGTGCAGAGCAGGTCTTTGACGGCTCATTCCTGAACTGTATGGAAGTGTGTGGTATTTCAGGCTTCTGCTGGTCAGTCTGGGTAGTACACACTTACATTTACTTGAGAAACGTTTTGAAGAAATTGTACTTTTTCTAGTAGTTTCCAAATACTATACATTCACTTCTACCTGAGTAAAATTTTGTTTTTAATAACTAAGTAAAATTATTGGCAGGGCTCTGATAAGTCTGGAATGTCAAAAGCATTATATGAACAACATTAAACGATTTGTGCGTCTTATGCCTAACCTTCAGAGTTTTATATTTATTTTTTTTATTATTTTTGTGTCTATATTCTGTTGAAATACAATGACCTGTGCATTATCTAATGTTTTATTATCCAATTACATTAACCCGTAAATCAGATTCATAGTTAATTTTATTATCCACTGTTCTTTTGGAGTTGCCCAACCTAAAATAATGATGGCAAGTGATGCAAGTTACAAAGTTGCAGTGCTGCAAACTTGTAATACATAGTAATGAGCCTTAATTAGCACAATATAGAGAACACTATTAAATGTGCCATTGCATCAATAGGAAAAATAAATGATCAAAGTGGTTCTTCAAAAACAGATTTAGTTCTATCAGATGGTTTTGGGTGGAGCCAGTGGTCGACTGGCAGATTATGTATTTTGACATAAACATCCACACACATCATGAAACTCCACACATGGTATAGTTGAGCAATTTGATGAATTTGGCCAAATTTGAGACTAAACCTTTTAGGCTATTTGTTTATGGTCAGTTGTGTGATTACAAGTCAGTTCAATGTACTGAATTGACATAAACTTTTTTATTTTATCAACTTTTGACCTCTCCTTGCAGCCAGTCACACAAGTTGTGCATAAAATATGAATTCCTGAAATGCGACTAGACTAAAACATGAAAAACAAGCATTTGCAATATAAAAATGTCTTGAATGTGCAAGTTTGAGTTATGAACTACAAGACCAGAGCTATCATCAAGTTGTAAGCTTGTGAAAACCTTTTCTAGACATATCCACTTTATGATTTCAGACAGAGGACACAGGCGAAGACACTGCTGACTTCTTCCTTGGTTATATAGCTGCTACTTTAGTGGGTTTTGTGTGGAGATGGTTGCATGATGTTGCTTCAAGGCACTCTCTTCAGAATGATGTACAAGTATGGAAGCTGTGTGTCCCAGCTTTATAATGACAGACGTCTGTAAAAGATGCTATTCTGAGTCACTGTTATTTTGTTGCTCCAAAGAAGTCAGTGCAGGAGGGCGTGGGGCCAGATGTGAACTGTTAATGTAATAGTTTAATGTTGAGAAGATCCCACTTGTGTGCTTTTACAGTTAGCTTAGGATATGGTTTGTGCATTTAGCCTAGAAATGCTCTTTAATTAATATTTTGTCTGTTAAAATATTCAGACTAATTAGCAGAATGCATATTGATGTCAAGGCCTTGTCAAGTGAAAAACTAAGAATGCATTCATACTTGCACACACACTTATTTTGCGTGCCTTACGAGGACATTACATTGACTTCTTTCATTTCCTGGAGAATGATCTTAAAACCAGTTACTACTTAACCTAACCTTAATCCAAAGCCTAACCATAACCAATTTTAACCTCTATCTTAACTTTAAATCATGTCCGATGAAAAACGACTTCATGGTGACCTGATTTTGGATCCCGTAAAAGAGGCTGATCCCCATGAAGTGACTGTATACCAATTCTACTGCCCACATTGTGATAATTACTCCCCTACCACATCAAAATTGAGACTAAACCCGACCACAGTAGCTCAGCTGGTAGGGAGTTTGTCCACTGATTCGAAGGTTGGCGGTTTGAAACCTGCTCTTGACACAGACATCATTGGTTGAGCAGTCAGATCCACTGACCCAGAAGTTGGTGGTGTGATTCCAGATCCCACAGCTGTGTAGGAGTCCTTAGGCAACACACTTAAACCACCCATAGTGTCTACAGACACTAGTGAATGAATGTGTGTGTGTGTATGGGTGAGTGGTTCCTTGATGTGAAGGGCTTTGAGTCCCTTGAAGGTAGAAGAGCGCCATATAAAAATGTGACCATTTAAACTTGGAACTAAATCTGGATTAGACCAGACCAGATTAGACCTACAACAAGACCAAACCAAGTCTACAAAAAACTAAACTGGGCTCAAACCAGGACCAAACCATGAAAAGTGTGAACAAGCACAAAGCCGCTAGAGGGAGGGAAGATATTGTGTTCTGCCATAGTCACCCACAAAATCTGAAAGTAGTTTATATGGTGCTATGCTAATTAACCTTTTGGCTGTGGTACATGTGTGTTTTTGTCTTCCTTGATTTTCTTCCTTCATTTTCTGCCTTTTTTCCTGTTTGGGGTTGCAGTTTCTTTAATAAGGACCTGGACAACTTGCACAGTGATTAACTATTTGGAGAACTACCTGGTTTAGTCTAGAATCATTACATATTTACCACCTGAAATGCATAGAGCTGATATGAACATTAAATCCTAGCTGCTTCTAAAGACCTTTAATTATCACTGTTTCAGGCTTGTCCTTGCTACTGCTTTAGATGATGGGGATTTCCAAAGAGCAACATAAAACATGATGATAGTTTCTGACACTCTGCTTCCTCAGTGGTGTTACACGTCTGTTATTTATACCATAAGACTGAAATTGTAGCTCTGGCTAGACTAGACTTAAGATGTAGTGGTGCGTACAGTTGTACAAACCACACATATATAGGTAAG